TTAACAGAGTAAACTCAGGTGGAAAATCCAAACAGAGATGTAGAGAGAGAGGGTAGGCAGAGTCGAGGAGATGCCATGTAGCTGCCAAAGGAGAAAGCAAGCAGAACACCTGACCCCATCTCTTGGCTTCCACTTACAAAAGCCTGCCACCTTCGCTTGAGGTCACTACAGTAGTGCCTTCCCACCATGAACTGCATCCTCTCAACCTCTGAGTCAAAGTGAACCCTGTCAGAGGCCATGGAAATATATAGCATATGGTAACTGATAATTCAGATGTCAACCCCCCAGAGGAGTAACTCTCTGATGGAGGTGAATCCTGTCCAGGAAAGGCCTGCAGGACCATTGACTCTAGAAACTGATGCTCATTTTTGCTAAAATAGCTTGGTGTCTCCCCAATACCTGCACTGTAGTGTGTAATCTCATGTGATGTATATATGTAATCTCATGATGATATCTCATCTTATGGGCACAGGTGGTCAGGAAGATGACTTTTCATTAAACTGCATGATTTTGATATAGAGTGTCTATACTGGGACATGCCTCATAACTAGATCTATTTGTCCCATGAGGACTGTAGGTACTTAAAAACCTGTTTTATTCCTTTTGCTCAGACTCACTGCACACAATCAGCTCATTTTTACCTCAGAAAAAGTTCAAACTAGACTAAAGGCTTTTTGTAAATTGATCATAAGTTTAAAACTTTGCAGTTATGGGGTGGGGGGGCTGGAGAAATGGCTCAGAGGTTAAGAGCACTGACTGCTCTTCCAGAAGTCTTGAGTTCAATTCCCAGCAACTACATAGTGGCTCACAACCATCCATTATGAGATCTGGTGCCCTCTCTGGCCTGCAGACAGACATATAGGCAGAACACTGTACACATAATAAATAAACCTTGGGCTGGAGAGATGGTTCAGAGGTTAAAAGCACTGACTGCTCTTCCAGAGGACCTGAGTTCAATTCCCAGAAACCACATGATGGTTCATAACCACCTGTAATGAGATCCGGTGCCCTCTTCTGGCATACAGGTGTAAATGCAGGCAGAACATTGTATACATAATAAATCTTTAAAAATAAATCTTAAAAAAATCTTTACAGTTATGCACAAGGTTAGAGTCACAGATGTCCAACCAAGGTTGCTACACAAAGCACCCTAAGAAAGACATGCTAATGTTTCACTTGCCAAGTCTAGCTGATAAAAGACCCATGGACGCTGTGCCACTGGGCTCTGATCACTCTTACTCCTGAAACCTTGGTTGCCATAGTTAATGGCCTGGCTCCTTATCACTTACCCAAAAGGTCAAAAGGAAGGTGCTTTTGACCAATGAGAGGTAACTCTTGTAATCTTCTTCTTTTCTTTTTTGTTTTTTTAAGACAGGATTTCTCTGTAGCTTTTAGAGCCTGTCCTGGAACTCGCTTTGTAGACCAGGCTGGCCTCAAACTCACAGAGATCTGTCTGTCTCTGCCTCTGCCTCCCAAGTGCTGGGATTAAAGGCGTGCACCACCCATCCAGCTTGGAAACTTTTTCATTGCTTCAAGGCTCACATGGAGAGAGAATTTTTAGGCTAGAGGAGAAGAAGCTAGGAGACACTAGAAGTGGGACAGGAGAATTAGAATAGAGGCAGAACAATAAAGAGACTGATTTGGGAAAACACAGCATGACAGAGCTCATTTGTTATGTTATGCCCAAAGTCTGGAACTCCAAGAAACCACCAAATCTGATGCAAAAGCAAAGAGTCTTTATTGTGAGTTAACTCAAGCCTTCCTGTCTATCTGAGTAGCAACAACAGTAGCAGGAGCAAAGCAGGAGAGACCCCAAGTAGTGTGGGGAGGGGGGTTTGTAGTAGGGAAAGTTTGGGGAATTCCAAGTTTACTGGCTTGGGATTGGCTGCCCCCTATGGGATGGTGCCTGCTGGTTGGCTCCTCCCATTTTAGGGAGGAGTCCATGATGTCATGGTTCAGGGAGAGGTTATGCCTGTGTACTAGAGGTAACTACTCCCTGGGCTGAGGTCCAGAAATGGTCATGGCATATTTCTAGGCTAGAAGTTACCACTTCCCTGCTCAGGGACTGTACTAGGGCCTGGATCTCTTAGTTGCCCTCTAATACCCTAAGAAAAAAGTGCTTTTTACTTGCTGTAGTGTCTGATCTGAACCCTGAAGATAATCTTGGGCCTGGACCCCAAAGAGACTCGATAGAACCCTTCTTACCTTAATCTCTTTGTCAGATAGTTAAAGCAATACGGGAAGTAATTCGTAGATTTTGTCCCTCTCTTCTCCTGAGGTGATTAAGTATGCAAACATGAGATCCAGATAAACAAATACATTTTAATATGGGTTATGGTTCGAATGAGAAATGTCCTGAACCTGGGGAGGTCTCTGGCATTTTGGAAAGTTAGGCTGATTCTGAAGAGAGTATCTCAGCATTCACACAAGACAGAACCTGGCACCTTTTTGTTTTGTTTTCTTCCTCTTGCAGTAATGGATTTCTCCCTGGTCTCCCTTTCCTGAGTAATGTCCCCACATGGCAAGGAAGCCAGTCCTGAGGTCTGGTGTCTGGGTGCACGCCTGACTTTCCAGCAGGCTGTCTGCTCCCTCCCTGGCATACACAGGCTCTCCTTGTTCTCCTGCCACGCTGGACAGCCTGTCTCCTTGGGCCCTTGGATGCCTGCTCCTGTATCACTGCTCAGCTGCTTTCTCCACACCGAGAAACAGTTTCTTTGTTGTTTGTTTTTTTGTGACAAGGTTGCATTTTTTGTTTTAAAATTCTAAAATAATATTAAAATATTAGAAATATTTTAAGGCAGGCAGCAGTAGGTACACACCTTTAATACCAGCATACAGGAAGTAGAGGAGAGGTGGATCTCTAAGTTCGAGGCCAGCCTGATCTACAGAGTGAGTTTCAGGACAACCAGATGTGTGTCTGTAATGGACATGTGCACATGAGTGAATGTGCCATTGGGGTCCAAGAGTGTTGGATCCCCTGAAGTTGGGGGACACAGGAGGCTGGGAGCTACCCAATGTGGGAGCTGAGAACTCAGGTTCTTGAAAGACAGCACATGCTCTTTATGGCTGAGACATCTCGCCAACACCATATTTTAGTGTGCAAACATACCCCTCCATGGCCACCAGAGTTGAGAGCAGGCTCAAAGCAGAAACATCACTGTGATAGGACTTGCAGATTTTCTTCAAAGTCAGAGTGCGTCTGTTCTCATCACCCATCTTTCCCCCTGTCAGGGACTCGTCCCATCATCCATCTCAGCTGTGCTGTATTTGTGTGTGCCATCTGCACTGAGGACATGTTCAAATATAACTATTTCAGACACTGCAGAAGCCAGAGGTGTCACGATGAGGTTTCTGTTTTTCTTGGCAGGGCCTCTCCAGGGCTGCAGGAGCTACCCCTGCACACAGTGTAGAATAGGAAGGGAGGCCGGTTTCTTAAGAAAATGAGCTACTCTGTCAAATGAGAGGGCACGTACACCAGGAGCTGCTGCAGCCTCTACACCCCTGCTTCAGCCGAACTTAGCCCAATCCCCACCAACAATAACAATGATCAAAATGATAATTAACATTATGTCAATCCAGGTTGATTATCCCTTCATTTGATTGTTCCAAATTTAAACCATGCATTGTGTAATTATACAGACTTAACTCTCTCCGTTGTAACAGTGTTTCCCATTTTTTAACGTGGGGAAAAAAACCTCTCTTTTAACTAATTCCTCCCTTTAAGACAGTTGTCTCACCAAATCTGATGGTGATGGCAGTGGAGCCGAAGACTGTGCAGCACATCAAACTGGAGCACACAGGCGGTGCACAGCCTGTCTGAGGACAGTGCAATTGCTAGCGTGCAGCCGTGAGCTGAGAGCATGTAGTGGTCCCAATAACAGCAGAAGCCTGAGCAGGTGTCAAGGCAGCTACCTAGTGTGCCGGCATCAGTCCAAGGAAGGGGTATGGGGGAGCCCACAACCCACAGGGGAGAGGGAGCCGGCTGTCTGAGAAACACATCTGAGGAGTGGTGGAAGCCTGCGGCCGGAGCTGCCTAAAGCCAGAGCCAACCAGTATAAAGGGGTAAGTCTGCCTGCAACATTTGAAGCCCACGTGCCTCTGGCGCTTGGGGCCTGTGGAGTTTGCTGCAGAGAGGCTGCAACAAAAAAATTCCAAACTTGCTCAGAGGCTTGGGGAAAATTGGGAGAAAAGCTTAGCCGGTGAGGCAGTAACTCCAGTGGGAGCCCCTGCGTGTAGTTCTGGTGTGTGCCAGTGGCTGCAAAGCCATAGGCAGGCAGCCTTTTCGTGAATTCACGCCCTAAAGTTGGGCACTAGATATAGCATGAGTTCTAATTGGTCTTAATAATAAAAACCCAGAGTCAAACATTAGAGGGTGAAAGCTGAAAGATCAGAGAAGCAGAGCAGTCAGTCACTAGAGTTCTTACCTCTACAAAATCCTCAACCGAAAAGGGGCTGAGTTCCTATCTCCTCCCACCTTATATTCCTCTCTCTCGGCCCAGCAATATCTGTACAGACCTCCAGACCGCTGTGGTTAACTAGTGGCTAGCTCTGCCCTCTGATCTTCAGGCAAGCTTTGTTAGAGTACAAAGAAGATATCAACATCCAGTTCTGCCTAGACCAGGCCTTGTGCACATTAAGCTCCTGAGAACAGTGAACCGCAGGTGACGGTGGCACAGCACGATCGCAGGCCACTTAACAACAACCCCACTGCTAGGCCCAGCCGCACCCACAGCATTCTCACTGGGAGACAGTTACCATAGCAACTCTGCTACCTGACCATGGACCGCTTTCTCCCTTTCAGGCGCACTTCATCTAACTTCTTCTTCTTCTTCTTCTTCTTCTTCTTCTTCTTCTTCTTCTTCTTCTTCTTTTTCGAGACAGGGTTTCTCTGTGGCTTTGGAGCCTGTCCTGGAACTAGCTCTGTAGAGCTGGTCTCGAACTCACAGAGATCCGCCTGCCTCTGCCTCCCGAGTGCTGGGATTAAAGGCGTGCGCCACCACCGCCCGGCTTCATCTAACTTCTTCAGCACTGGACCAGACTTTTTGGATGAAGTACCATAGCTCTTGAGAAAGACTTCAAACACCGTCTCTGTGTGGGGGTGGGTGCTGAGGAAGGCCTTCTCCAGGACACAGAGGTCGACGCCTTTATCTTCCGGCAGTCCCGAAACAGAACTCAGCCCGAAGTCGATGAGCACGATGTGCAGCTGCTCCAGGGGCCGCCTCAGGAGCATGTTGGAGGTGATGAGGTCCCCATGAATGAGGTCTTCGTCATGCATTCTAGCCAGAACCTGCCCGATTCTCCTGGCCAAGCCCAGGAGGCACTGGGGGTCTTTTTCGGTCTCCATAGTAGATTGGATATAATCTCGAACAGTCACCGAGTCTTCAATTTCTTCCATATATAAGCAGTTAGAAGCATAGTCCACGAAGAAGACAACCGGGGCAGCTATACCTGCAGTGGACACACAGGTGCTAGTGAGTGCGTTCTGTATGAAGGAGGCGTCACCTGCACAGGTAGGGCCAGCTTTTCAGTCTAAATCTACTTACTCTGGAGCAGGGCTGAGGAATATGGTGGGAATGATAGAACTTACCCAGAAGCTTGCCCCAAGCCCTGTCCAAGCCTTGCTCAAGCCCTGAGGGACTATGGCCCAGCTCAGGGTGCGTCTGCAAGTGTCAAAGCTTGCTCCTCTTTCTCAAGTCACCTTAGGACTGGAATTCATTGCTACTCCCCCCCTCCAAAAAAAAATGAAACTAGAATTCAGAAGGGAAAGCATCCTCGCATCCTCCAGTCTGAGCGGCTACCTGACTAGCAGGAGGCTAAGCAGTATGTCATCTTACAGACCCATCTTTTTGCCAGGACAGGCAGGTTCAAATCCCAGTTTCCTTCTTATTAGTGGTGAAACCTCAAGGTTCCATTAGCTTCTCCATATCTCGGTCTCCGATACTGTTAATGCAGTAACAATAGCTCCAGTTAACTCCAGGACTCTCCTGAATGCCAACCTCGTCCAGGACACTTTCCTAGAAACTGGGGACCTGTCAATGGGGATCAGGGTAGCCACCACCTCTGTCTGATAAAACTTACAAAAGAAGGTGAAACAGAAAATATGGACATTACAGCTCCATTGCGTCTGCTAGGACAGGAAAATGCTGGCCTGTTCACTGCTGAGCTTCCCAAGGCCCCTGGCACCTATCAGCCACTAAGGAGAAAACCAAAGGAGTGTAAAAGAGAAAGGCCCAGATCCCAGCTACAAAGCCAGGACACTTGGTTGTCTGCGGAACTTTGGACATTTTCCCTCTTTGTGCCTACTTTCTCTGGAGGACAAAGCTTTCTTGCGGGGAACCAGAAGATGTTTTAAAGAAAGAAAGAAAAAAAAAACACCCAGGAGTAGTGGCTCACGCTTTAAATCCCAGCACTTGGGAAGCAGAGGCAGGCAGATCTTTATGGTTCGAGACCAGGCGAGGTAGTGAGGTCCAAGAAAGGCACAACAAACAAAAAAAGAAACTATTTAATGAAGTCTGACGTTTATTGAATGCCATGGCAACATACAAACGTAATGTACATCCTGAGATGCGACCTCGACTATGATTTCACATTACAGCTGAGGAAACTGAGGCAAGACAACTTACTAAAGGGCCACACGGGAAGCAGCACGGGGAAAATCTGAATCCGGCAAGCCTGGCTCCAGATGCACGCCTGTCAGGGCGCCCGGTACTTTTTGTTTGTTTATTTTTCGAGACGGGGTTTCTTTGTGTTGCTTTAGAGTGTGTCCTGGAACTCGCTCTGTAGACCAGGCTGGCCTCGAACTCACAGAGATCTTCCTGCCACTGCCTTAAGAGTGTTAGGATAAAAGGTGTGCTCCACCACCTCCCAGCCGACATCAGTGCTTAAAACTACAGGTCTCAAAGCTAGACAGAGAAACAACAGCAGCAACAACAACAACTAAACAAAAAACAAAAACCCTATCAAATGGAGAGAGGACTACAGCAAGTAGAAACGAGGAAACCGAGGCTCCGTGCGCTGAACTACACGTTCAGAGATAGCTGCCGAGCAACAAACCAAACGGAAAGGCGTCCCGTGCGACGCTGGGAGTCCTTAAACACTGCCGTCTGGTCCCGTCTCCCGGGTCTCGGAGCCCTATTCAGTCCCGTCCGCCCCATCTCCCGGGCCTTGAAGCCCCGTCCACCCCCGTCCCGTCCGCCCCACCCGCGCGGCGACAGCGGAGCAGCGCCCGCGCCTCCTGCACCGTCCTCCACCGGCCGAGCCGCGCCTCCAGCGCCGGGTGCCGGTAGCTCTTAGGGAAGCGATGCTTCACCATGGCCATACGGCCCTGGAAGCGGCCGCGGAAGACGCGCGCCTCCGCGCCCTGCTGCAGCAGCTCCAAGCCGCTAAGGACCAGCCGGCTCTGCCCTCCCTCTCCGAGGACGGCTATACCTCTGCCTCCGGTTCGTCCCCCGCAGCGCGGCTTGCGCTCGCTCGCTTCGGAAATCGTCGCTTCCGCGCCACACGACATGCCCCGCCCCCGCCCCCCCCCCCCCGCCCCTCTTCTGCTCTGCCGGACCTTTCCTTCTTTCCTTGCTCTGGCTTTCCAGACAGGCGACTTGGCCCTTCCCGAAGCTCTTCTATCTCCGTGACCGCTCGGCAACTTTCGGTCAACAGCGTCTCACTTTCGGCTTTCTCCAGAAGTCGGTGATGCTCAGACTTTGGGAGCCGGCTCCAAGTTGGAGACATTTTAGGGTCTCCCTTCCCTCCACTAACCTACCCTTCTCTTCTTTCTCTCTCCTTTTCTTTTTTTCTTCTTTTTTGAGCAGGGTCTTACTGTGTAACCCAGGTTAACATCGAACTCATGCTCTTCCCACTTCAGTCTATGGAAACATTCTCTTTAAACCAGGTGGGAATGAACAGGACCAAGGAAAAACACCCTGACCCTGACTTGGGAACAGGGATTGAAATCCCACTAATCCTAGATGTTCCTGAGTACAAAACCCCACCCCACCAAGCCCTGACCATGTATTCCCACCAATCCCTGAGCCCCTGTGGACAAAAATCCACCAACCCCAAACCACCCTGGAAAACTCTGTAACCACCCCCTTCCCAGAAATCCTATAAAGATCTGTACCCTGTTCAGTTTGCTGTAGCCTCATCCTAGAGGCAGCCACACTCCTGAATTCTTTTTTCCCAAAAAAATCTCTTGAGTGAGGTTTGTTGTGTGGTATGACATTTTCGACTGAGCTAAACCCATCTGTAACAACTTTCTCTGGAGCCTGAGCCAGGGCAGAGCGAAGTAGACTAGTAACAGTTCCCTAACTGAGCAGAGTTGTTACACACCCAGGGGAACCTAAGCAGAGCTGTAACACTGTAGCTGGGGAAACTTTCCCTTAAGCAGAACAGCTCTGTATGTAACACTTCACTGAACCTGGGCAGAGCTGTAGCAACGTCACTGGAAAACCCTCCCCTGCCCTACCGGGCAGAGCTGTTAACAGTGGGGAAACCTTTCCCTGGAGCAGAGCTGTAAGCTGCTATGCTTACAGTGACTTAGTGGCATTCCTTGCCTCCCGACTGCTAGGATACATCACTGTCCAAGCTGCAAAGCTTACAGGGTGGAAGGTACTAGGCAGAGCTCTCTATCCAGATGCCACCAGTGTCTGGCATCAGCGTGACAGCAGCCAGCACCGTCCCGTGACAGCAGCCAGCACCATCCCTCTGTGTTCGGTTTCCTCATCTTCAAAATGAGGATGATGCCGGGTTCTGCTGGAGCCAGGGTTTATCAGATTAAAAGAAGAGGGTGATTATGCAATGCCAGTGGACAGGGGCCCTCTTCACATGGCCTCTGACCTCCCAGCCTCTGCCCTATGCTCCTTGGGGTCCTGTTGAATATACAGAAGAGAAGCCCTTTGGACCAGGGTTGCTATGGCACCAGCATCCTGGCTCTGTGGTCCCTGGGTTTCGTTCACACTCATGACAGGACCCTTTTCACACATCAGACCCTTTGTGTGGATTGAATGTTTTCCAGTAAAGCTCACCCCGAACCGGTTCCCTTTATATCCCCCAGTGCTCAAGTTTGTAGCTTCATTATCATAACTGTTTGTGTCCACGCAGCCATTGCTATGGTGACCCAAAACCATCTGACCCTTTGCCTTAGAAATCTACTGTGCAAAGACGCTGACCAGAGCCAGGCTTGCTAAGTCAGGCTGGGTTTAGCTCTTTAAACCAAAATCAAACGTTCAATGGCTCGTCACTGTGCTGAGGATAAAGTACCTACACCTTAATTCAGCCCATGAGGCCCTGCAGGGAGCTCCTGCATCTCTTAGACTGCTCAGCAGACTGCTGCCCCCTACTCTCTGCTGAGAGGGCAGGATGTCTCAGCACTAAACTCAGTGCACCGAGAGCTGAGCTAAAGTGCCCGGTATTGCTGGTACAGTGATGTACAGGGCAGGGCATCTTGTATTATTTACCACTGCATCAACAACCAAATGACACGCTTAAATGCCAGGGGAAATAATGCTAGACACAGCCACATGGGGGCTCATGTAAGGCCATTCGAACTTCTATCCAGATGCTGCTCAAATCCTCCCTCTTCTCTGCCAGCTCTCTCCCCAGTGGGAGTCACCTGAGGAACCGGCACCTGCTATCTGCACCCCTCAGTAGAGGGTGACCCTCCTTCCTCAGTTTTCAATGGTGGCCATCGAAGTCCCTGAACACTTCTCACAGTTCTGGAGATCAGCAGTGTGGGTTGAACCTCCCTGGGGGAGAGGCCAATGTTGTAAGGAAGGTCGCTTGGTGGTTCCGGCCTCTCAGCAGCTCAGACTCATAATAACCACACAGAAACTGTATTATTTGCAATACTGTTTGGCCAATAGCTTAAGTGTATTTTTGGCTAACTCTTACATTGTATATTAACCTGTCTCCACTAATTTGTATAACACCACAATGCTGTGGCTTACTGGGTAAAGTTCCAGTGTTTTTCTCTAGCGGGGCTACATGAATTCTCTCACACTCCATCCTTCTTTCTCGCAGCATTCAGTTTAGTTTTCCCCGCCTATCTCTGTTCTACCCTATCACAAGCCCAAAACAGCTTCTTTTTTAAAAAAAAAAAAAAACAGGCCGGGCGGTGGTGGCGCACACCTTTAATCCCAGCACTTGAGAGGCAGAGGCAGGCGGATCTCTGTGAGTTCGAGACCAGCCTGGTCTACAAGAGCTAGTTCCAGGACAGGCTCCCAAAAAAACCACAGAGAAACCCTGTCTCGAAAAACCAAAAAAAAATATTTATTTATTATGTATTCAATATTCTGTCTGTGTGTATGCCTGCAGGTCAGAAGAGGGCACCAGATCCCATTATAGATGGTTGTGAGCCACCATGTGGTTGCTGGGAATTGAATCAGGACCTTTGGAAGAGCAGGCAATGTTCTTAACCTCTGAGCCATCTCAAAACAGCTTCTTTATTAACCAATGATATTCACAGCATACAGAGGGGAATCCCACATCAGGCCAAGGTGCTAACAGTTCTATCTCTTTCTGGATGCTCTGAGGACCATGTTTCCTCACCTTTTTCCTTGGTTTTTTGTTTGTTTGTTTGTTTCTAGTGCCTGGTAGCCTTCCTAGCATACAGGAGGAACTTGATAGATTCAAAGAACTGATGGATAAAGAAAACAAGGAAACATTTGGCTCCGGTGTGAATCAGGTCCTGCTTATCAGCACACCTTTACGTGCTCCACACTGTTGGTTCATAGATGCACACACACCTCAGATGGCCTTGAACTTGTAGCTGAAATTAAAGGTCTGCACCACCACACCTGGACCAGAGAAATTCCTTCTTATTAGGAAAGTAAGCTATGGGAATGTGAGTCTGGGCTACCCCAGAAACCTGCCTGACAACAGGCAGGGAGGATTACTGTGTCTATCCTTGGGACTGGATACAGCTATGCCTGAAGCAGGTTTCAAACACAAGTGAACCAAGGTATTTCTACTTTTTTTCCATCACTTTACATCTCTCTTACCTGCAATTTAGAGCATATCATCTCCAGGACAACAGACAGGTGGCCCAGAGCCCTTGACAGATGAAAGAGAGAGACCCCAACCTCACACAAGTGAGGGAAGTTGCCTGCGGGCCATGCCGGAGGCGCCCCAAGTTGCAGTGAAAGTTCCAGGTGTCAGCCCAGCAGAAGGGAATCCTCTGATGGGCCAATCTTGTCTAGGCAAGTCCACAGAACTACAGACCCCCCAAAGAACGTCTTTTGCTTCTGCTGTGGCTCTCTTTGTCTGGTGTCTAGCATGGTGTGAGCGCATGTGGGGAGACCTCCACTGCCTGTAGTGTAGTGTGTTTATCTCTTGGAAACATCCCATTCTACTGGGTATTTTTACCTGTGGATTGTCAGGAAGATGACCCCTACCTAAGCTGTGCTGTCTAATTTGATAATAATAACGATAACCTGTGCAGAGTTTTGAGGAATAAAAATAAATACAAGAATGTGTTTCATAGTCAGGGTCTGTGAGTCTCATGTAAGAAGCGGCATGGATTGTTGTTCAAGTTAATGACTTACTATTGAGTCCCCATAGCCCAGCTAGTTTAAATTCTTTTTACCTTAATGTTGGGAGATGAGTTCCCGGTCTCAGAGTGCATCACAGCTGCAACAAAGCTGTGAAAACAGCAAAGTTAGACTAAGATGCTTTTGCTAAATAACTTGGAGGTGAAAAACCCAAGAAGACAATCTCAAGTTTCAGAAAGGCACACAGTTGAATGCGGGACTCTTTAAGGTCAGGGAACAAGAACAAAGCAGCCCAGTTATTACTGGCTGACAAACTCTCCTTGCTAGGTTTGGTTGATGACCAGAGGTGATGATTAATTTCTTATACCCATTTCTGTCTGTGGGGGCCAGCCATGATAAGCTAAGTATGGACAGGTCACCCAAAGGAAGTTCTTTATTTCCAACCATTATCACCTGCCAGAGTAGAACTCTGGCCCTCAATAAATTTAATAAGAGGCCCGAAGCTCAGTAGTTTACCCTGAAGCAATACCTGGTAGCAGGAAAGAACCACAAGCTGAGATAACCCGACCACCACCCAATAGCAGACCATTAAAAAAAAAAAGCCACTTGCTGTCGATAGGACCACCTGCCAGCACACCTCACCTGAACATCCCTAGACAAATGTCAGCCAATCAGGGGTTCTAAACCTCCGAGACCCCTCACCCCCACCCTTACTACTATAAAAAGCCAATTCTACTTGAGCTTGGAGATCTCTGGTTATTCCAATAAGATGGAAACGCGGAGAGACCAAGTTTGCAAACTTGATTAAAATAAAGGCTCTTTGCTTTTACATACGGGACTTGGTTTCCTTGTTGGCTTTTGCGGGGACTTTGCGGATTTGGGCATAACACTATCCTCAATCTCCTGATGTAAGAAACTATTAAAGAATGGATATACACCCTAAAGATTTAAAGCAGAGCTGACTGATTCTTTTTCATATATAAGTTTGGGTTTGTGATTTCTTTAAGACTCTTTATAAGATTACCTT